CTTAAAAAATGAAATTAAAAATGATGATTTGGAACACCAATTAGCTTTCCTGTGTTGTAATAGTTTATAGACTTTTAATAATGAGAAATCAATATTTGATTATGATTATGATGAGGAATAAAGTGTGTGTGATAAAGTGTGCCCCTCCCTGTTTAACATAGCAAGTAAATGGAGGTTAAGTAGTACAAGTCAAGTGTGTGTCTGTGTCATCATCTTATGCACAATAAATAGTGTGAATAGAGTATGTGGAGTACAATGAAAGAGTGTGAGAGTGAAAGAGAGAACCTAACAAAAAGGAGAAAAAACAAAAGGAATAAATAAAGCAGAATAGCTACTACAATCCAGAGAAGATTTGCCGCAAAAAAAGAGACAGTGGTTGAAAAAAGTACATTTTTTTGTTTGTTTTTTCTTCTTTCATTTGTAAGAAAAGAAAAGCCAAAGTAGTATCTCTGCTTTTTTCCAAAAAGGATACGAGAGTGAAAGAAGAAAAAGAAAAGACACTTTTTGTATCCAAAGAACAGAAAACACAAACACACCAGTGCTTTTCGGTGCAGCTGCTAAATAATGCAACGGCAAAAACAGAAGCAGCACACTGATTCATTGATGCGTTCAGTTCAGCAGTTCACCAAACGGAGCACTTTTTCACCGGATTCATCTTGCTTCCCACCGGGCAGCTGTACGCCTTCGCAAAGTCGTACAAGTTGGACAGCGGCCCAAGGACTCTGTGGCAATGGTGGTGATGATCATGATCAAGAAAATGATGATGATGATAGAAAAAGTGAAGGTAAAAAAATAAAACCAGATTCATTTCTGGCAATCTTAGAATGTTTTTCTAATTTCTGTTTTTCTGGTGGGGCGCCTCTACTCGCTCCAGTCAAAATCTTCCGGTGAACACCTGGAGATCCCCTAGTTTTGAAAATTGTAAAATGAAATGTGTAGTGATGTTTGAAATACAAAAGTGCATGCAATTCATATAATTTTTGGCAAAAAAAAATAGTTTTACAGAAATGAATTGTTGGTAAAATCACTGTCCAGCATCAGTGGCAAGCAGCAGCAGCTCCTCTGCAGAGCGATACTTATACAAATCCGTCTGAATGAAGATCCTACTGGGGTGAACTCCATTGTGCACTTTGAGAAAGGACTTTCGAAGGCAACACAAAGCTTGGGAGAACTCATAAGCGGAAGCTCCCTGACGAAAATTATAACTGAGGCTGATCTTACAACTTCTACAGAAAAAATGCTGCACAATGAGCGTTTTCAGGTGAGGTAATGACCACTGCAGATTGAGCCACCGCAGCTGACCGTGAGATGCACTGGGCGCTAAAAGGGTGAGCACTCGAACCGAGTGCAGCTGATCAACGGGGCAAGCCGGCAGTGTATCAGGCTCCTCATCCCCTTCTCGTGGAAAATTGAACTGCACATTCAACATAAGGCTAGTCAGCTGCCTAAAACGGGAAAGAGCGCTGAAAAGAGCCCTAACCTGATCGGGCTTAATGCCGTAAACTGGCAAAGCGGTGAGCCTGGGAAACAGATTGCAGAGACGAGGCACATCGGCGAGATAAAAAGGGAGTCCTTGGAAGCAAACAAAGCGACTGCGAAAGGACTCACTGAAAGTCTGAGGATCGCCGAAGATGCGCTGATGTCTCCAGGAGAGCAGATACACCTGCAGGTCGGCATTGCCGGCAGCGTGACGATCAATGGACCGCTCAAAGGCTGAGAGCACTGAGTTGGGCATAGAGTGAACAGCAATGGTCTTCAACTGGGAGAGGATGGTCAGCTCGGGCAGTTTCACCGGCTCTCCATCCGACACTTCCCTACTCCACCAGTCATAGGCCAGGTGCTGCAAGGCAGGAAGAGCGTTGATGATGGCTGTCAGGCGGTGCATTACTTGCTCACTCTTCCGGACGGCTGGAAAAAGCGCACAGCTGGTGAGTTGGGTGGCCCACTGGGGCTGCTGCAGCAGCGCAATCAGCTCCTCGCAGTGATCATTGTATGTGGCTGAAAATGTAAGCGAGGTGACGGCGGAGAAGATGGTGACGATGCGCTCCACAGTCGATATATCAAATTTCTTTGTGTCCGACAGCTTTAGGCGGTTCCACTTGCTGATTAACGGATTAACCGGAGGGCCGGAAAACACACCAAATTGATTAGAATGTGAGTCGTTAAACTTGTACGAGAAATTGAAGGGGCTGATGGCAAACTCATGGTGATAATCGGAGATGTTCAGCAGCTTCACCCTTCGATTGGCAGCGCGCACCAGCAGGTAACATCGGTTGCTCATTCTGCTGGCGGTCAGTTGACTGTTGGGTGTCAGCTGCTTGAACACCCCAATGAGCACCAGATCAGGGAGGGGTCGACGAGGTGGCATGATGTTTGGGTTGAAGAGAAGATGATGAGAAATGACGAAAAGAAAAGTTGAGATTGAAAAAGGAAAAGTTGTGGTTGCTGCTGTTCAGTGCCAAGTGAAGAAGGAAGAGGAAGAGACGGTGAACACATGTGCTCTGTGTCCTCTGGCCTCTGGGCTTGCAGCCCCAGTAGACCACATATTCCTCTCTCCAAGGATTTTGCCATTGGCACTGAGCACACCTGTATAGTTTCAGTTAAAATAGAAAGCAACAGGGGGTGGTTTTTCCTTTCCACTGCTGTGACAGCTTTTCCACTTCAAACATTAGATTTATTAGCAGTTATTGCCTGCCTCTGATGATTCATCAAATTCTGGTCTAATCACTTTCTTTTTACCTCCTGCAGAGCTCATTCCGAAGATGGTCCGCTGGCCGACCCATATTGACCACTACCTTTGCAAAAAGCTGCACAATGGGCTGGGCGTTCGCTCGCATGCAGTCACGGTACGACCATCTTTTTTCATGTATCCTTAGGATATCATTTCATTCCGACTAAATCCGCCTAACGACTTACTTTGTTGTGCTAATTTATTATATTATTGATGCCACTGCTGATCCGCTAATTCTACTTCCGGTGCCTGCTTGCTTGCTATTATGTGACAGAATCTAAACGGCGACCTCTGCCGCACCTACTGTCGCATCATCGATCGCATGAACGGCAAGATAACCTACACTGAAAATGTGACGCCCAACTTTGTCCGCTGTGGGCCGTATCAGGCGAGAGTAAATAATTGATGAAGGGTTTCTAAACTTTAAATTAATTAAAACTTTTTAATCTAAAAACAATCTAGTGCGTCGATGGAGCCTGCGTCGGCCTAAACTTTCCCACACCGGGTAGTGCCCCGCCACCGCCTCCTGCTGAAGAGGCAATACCAGAACTGACCGCCGAGTCTTCGGCGTCAAATAACAGCGGCAATGAGACGGCCATTGAATCGGCGGAAGTCTCCGCAGGAGGTCAAAGCGGAGAAGCGATTTCCACAGATGATAATTCTTCAGTGGGTTCTTTCGCTTCCACTTCAACTACCACATCTTTGCCAACTCTTTTCTCGAAAAAAGGTGGCAGTGATCAGCAACGGCAACAGCACTATCAAACTCTCAACGACCGAAATGAGCGAAGAGTGACACGACAGGCGACCCAAATTGTCAAAACTTAAAAAATGAAATTAAAAATGATGATTTGGAACACCAATTAGCTTTCTTGTGTTGTAATAGTTTATAGACTTTTAATAATGAGGAATCAATATTTGATTATGATGAGGAATAAAGTGTGTGTGATAAAGTGTGCCCCTCCCTGTTTAACATAGCAAGTAAGTGGATGATAAGTAGTACAAGTCAAGTGTGTGTCGGTGTCATCATCTTATGCACAATGAATGGTGTGGATAGAGTGTGTGGAGTACAATGAGAGAGTGTGAGAGTGAGAAACAGAAACTAACAAAAAGAAAGAGGAAAAACAAAAGGAATAAACAAAGCCGAATAGCTACTACAATCCAGAGAAAATTTGCCGCAAAAATGATGAAAAAAGTACATTTTTTCTTTGAGAAAAACCAAAGTAGTGCATCTCTGTGTTTTTTCCAAAAAGGATACGAGAGTAAAAGAAGAAAAAAGAAGAGCAAGGGTAGGAATCGAGTCAATTTTTCCGCTGTAGCTACACAGCCAACGCTAGAAGGCGCGTAACGTTGGCTGTGTAGCTACAACGGAAAAGTGGACTCGATTCCCACCCCTGAAGAAGAGACACTTTTTGTATCCATAGAACAGAACAGAAAACACACCAGTGCTTTTCGGTGCAGATGCTAAATAATGCAACGGCAAAAACAGAAGCAGCAGCACACTGATTCATTGATGCGTTCAGCAGCAGCAGTTCACCAAACGGAGCACTTTTTCACCGGATTCATCTTGCTTCCCACCGGGCAGCTGTACGCCTTCGCAAAGTCGTACGAGTTCGACAGCGGTCCAAGGACCCTGTAGGTGATAATGATAATGATCAAGAAAAAAAATGATGATGATAGGAAAGGTGAAGGTGAAAAGAAAAACAACAAAAAATCAAAACCAGATTCATTTCTGGAAACCTTAGAATGTTTTTCTTACCTAATAGGACCAGGACTGTGCACTGAAGAGCGAATCTTGTTTAGTGCATCCTCTGGTCTCATGGAGCCGCACCAGATCTAGTGTAAGAGAACACAGAAAATTGCAGTCACCGAAGCGAAACGAAACGTAATGAGCGATAAATGAGAAGAATATTCTTATTAAACCTTTTCACTAATTTCTTCCCCAACCAGAGTAACTCACCTGGGCATAGTTGAGGAAGAAAAGCTGGTCGTGCGTCAGATTGAGTCCGGGCAGCAGGGGCTCGACGCCGTTTTGCGACTCCCAGCGCTTGAAGGCGAGATAGGCCTCCTTCACGCCGCCATTGTCGCTGAAAAGGTGAGGAATAAGAAAAAATTTGATGAGGAAACAAACTGTATGGCAAAAATTATTATTATTATGATTGCTTACGCTGATGATGATGATGATGATGAGAGTAGTGCCCAGATTTGCATCATAAACAAACAGATGGAAAACAGATGATTGCTCATTAGTGTTTGTTGGCCTGCTGACCATCATCACTTACCAATATTCTCGCCCTGGGTCATTTTTCCGTTGACATTGGTGCTAATGTCCTCGAGGACGTAGCTGGAGTACTGGTCAATGATGCACTCCGTCCGACTACGAAAACGCTTGATGGTGGCATTGTTCCACCACTGCTTCATGTTGCCATTCTTGTCAAACTGACGGCCACGATCGTCCTATTTTTCAAAATGTTAATTTTAGAAACTATTTTTCCTAGTCAAAGTTTGCACTTACAAATCCGTGCGTTATCTCGTGGCCGATGACGACGCCAATGCCGCCGTAGTTTAGAGATCTGGTTTTGATTTGTTTTTGTAAAAAAGCTTAAAGCTAAAACTTAAATGACTTACTTGGGAAAGTAGTGCGAGTAGAAGAGCGGCTGGAGGATGCCCGCCGGAAAGACGATGTCATTCTTATTGGGCGAGTAGAAGGCGTTCACCACCGCCGGATCAGTCGTCCAGCTGTCCTTGTCCACCGAGGTGCCCAGTTTGATCAGGTTCTTGTGCGACTCAAAGGTGAAGACGCTGATGATGTTCTCGAGGAACTTGTCTTCGTGCACCTCAAGCTTGATGATGGCAAAAAATGTCACAAAAAAGAAAAAAATTTTCTCAAATCACACTTACAAAGTCGTACTCTTTTGACAGCTCAATCGGATTGGTCAACAGATCTGGGTAGCCGATGCGCTCGTTGATGGCGTCCGCCTTCTCCTTCTACTCATGTCCAAAAAGTACCAAAAAATGACTCTATCTTTGAAACGATCACCTAAATAATACTCACCGCCAACACCTTCGTACTCTCGTCCATCCAATCGTTAACCAACAGCAGCTCATTGAAAGCCTGCCGAATATTGTGGATCATCTCAATGGCGATCTCCTTGCTCTTCGGATCAAAGTTGTCGCGGATGAAGAGCGCCCCCACGGCCATGCCCATCTTCTTATTGACCAGTTCGACGCACTGACTCCAGCGGGTTCGGTCGGCACTGATGCCAAAGAGGACTTTGCGGAACTTTGCTCGCCGTACGCCGTACTCGCCGTCCAGGAAGGGCAGCAGACTCTTCATCAGCCGCCAAATGGCGTAATTGATAATGACCCGCTTGTCCTGCCGAGCCGTCCTCGCCAGAATCTTCCCCATCGCCCGGTAGTAGGCAATGGAGTAGATCACTACCTCATCCTCCAACTTCACCTCCCGCGGCATAAAGCTGCTCAGGTAGGCCATCCAATCGAACTCCGGCACGGCGTCCCTCAACTCCTGAATGGTCTTCTTATTGTAAATAGCGCTCGTATCGTGGCGGTCCGCCTCTGGCATGCTCGCATTCGCCAGCTCCGTCTCAAAGTCAATCACCTTGGCCATCTGCTCAGTGGCATAGGCCCGGTCCGCCCCCAACAGCTCCGCCACGTCGACCATCAGCGCCAGGTAGCTCTCCTTCTCCTTATTGGGGCCCTCCTTCAGAAAGTACTCCCGACTGGGCAGCCCGAAGCTGGTCTGGTCAAACTGGACAATGTTGTGCGAGGAGTTGCGGTCATCGGGGCCGACGTACTGCTCAATTATAATCGGTTGGTTGTAGTCGCCGCGGATTTTTCCCAGCAGATTCTCAATGGTGAGGGGCATCTTTGAAGAGCGTCGGGAGTTTAGTTTTAGAGATGGAGAAGAGCCGGGGGAGTTTTGGGATGAGGAAGAAGAAGAAGAGGATGAGGAAGAGGAGGACTTGGCCGAGGTGATCGGTGAACTAGAGCCAGAGTTAGAGGCGGAAACGGAAACAACGGCGGCTGCTGCCGAACCGGAAGAGCCCGGATTGTTGGCGATGCCGGCAAATGAGGTCCGCTTGATGTAGTGCACCGCATCGGGGTCCCAGTTGCGGTCGAGCACCGGCCAGCCGCCCACGCTGTCGAGCACCTCGCGAATTGGCTCGTCGCCGATGGCTTCGATTTTTTCTGTGCAAAAGTGTTTGGTTATGAACGGAAGTGGTTTTATTTTTGTGAATATAAAAAGGAAAAAATGCGCTTTTTAAAAGCTTAGAGTAGCAACGTTTAAACAGAATTGTTTAAAGGGGGACACTGCGCATTTTTTAGCTGCTTTTTCAAATTTTGATTTTGGAGTGANGTAGCAACGTTTAAACAGAATTGTTTAAAGGGGGACACTGCGCATTTTTTAGCTGCTTTTTCAAATTTTGATTTTGGAGTGACTATGATGTTCATGAAGAATGTACTTAATAAGGATTGTTAAAAATTTCATGTAGAACAGTTTTGTGTTAATATTATGGTCATCCGATGAGTGGGTCGCTGTCGGTAACGACACTAGTGTTCTGACCATTTAGGTTCCATTATCTTCAAAACGAGTAACACCAAAAAATTGATCAAAATGTCAAATGAAAGGTGACTAAATTATCTAGATTTTGTCTGACTCAAAATATTTTTAAGTAGTTTGACGTCTCAGATAATAATTTTTGAATGATGGTAAAAGACGAAAAACTTTGAAAACTGACTTAACATAGAGTTTGTGCATATTTCAAATGTTTTTTAAATATATAACAAAACTGAAATTTAAAAATCCGAGTCAGACAAAATCTAGATAATTTTGTCATCTTTCATTTGACACCTCGATCATTTTTGTGGTATTACCCGTTTTGAAGATAATGGAACCTGCGTGATTCAAGATCTTGCTGAAAAAAGTTGTTGACTTAAAAAGAAAACCAAAAATTTGAAAAAAATTGCTGTGTGCGCGTTGTCCCCCCTTAACGATCAAACAATATGTAAAGTATTTTTTGCCTGCTGGCACTGAATTTAATAAACCATTTGAAAGATATAAAAGTAGGAAAAGAAACATCAAATTTAAATTTGCCCGCAGTCACACACTCCTGATCACTACTATGATAATGCGATCATTCTGTTCCCAAAATAGTGTCTGAGTACCTAAGTAGTAGTAGGTGGTGGCCATAAGTCAGTAAGTAATGAGTGACAGAGGGGAATCAATTGAATAATTCCGATTTGCAAACTCGCGCAAACACACACACACACACACCGTTTTGCTAACGCGCACTCATTACGTGCTGAAAGAGAATGGAAAAAGAAAAGAAAGGCGAATCAAGAAGGCACAAGAGGCCAATCGTCAGGCCATTTGCAGGCATTCAAAAGATGCCTGCTCAACAATAGCTCAGCAACTTTCAACAGTCTCCTGTGGCCACTTCACCGCCACCAATTTTTTGAGTTGTACACTAGGACGTTTGCTCAACAATTTCTCTTTCTCTCTTTCTGAACATCCCTTCTTCTTGCTCTGCTGGGCTGCTCACCAGGGGCCATATTAAACGTCTTACTTAACTTGGATGCGAATGTGTGTGTATGTGTGTGTGCTCCTGCTGCAAATCAAATGTGGCAACAGTGTAATGCATTATTGAAGGAAAAGGAAGAGAAAGTAGTACAATTGCAAAGATGCTATGACAGATGCGGCAGAAACAGCAACGGTAATCGCCCCCGTAAAGTGCCGTGCGTGCATTGTGTGTCACCGACTACGGTGGTGGTGGTAGCAATCGACTTTAAATTGGCATCACTGCCGTTTTCCTGCAACAGCAGCAGCAGCAGCTCCCGACGGAGCTCACCGACCCTCTCTCTCCCGTTTTTCCAGAAAATGTAAAAGCCATTGATAGTGATGCTTTCAGTGTGGTTAACCACCACCACCACCCCGGTTGATGTTGGCACATCAGCGGAGGCAACATCAACAGAGTGGCAACCGCAGCAAGATCACGCGCTCTGTTCACCACCACCATCACCACCAATCGATCCATGCCTCAGCCTTATTATTGTGAAACAGTAGGTTTCACCAGAAAAAACCGACAACAGCAGCTTAGAGAGCGTCACTGGAGCGAAAGAAGCACCACTACAAGCAGCACCAGCAAAAAACGAACCTAGAGTACCTGCTTAATTGCTGGTGGTGGTACTGCTGGTTGCTGCGTTTTTAAAACACAAGAAAAAAAATAAGAGAACAGGGAAGAAAAAGTGTAGTGAAGCGAACAATGGCAATGCCTTTCTTTTCGAGTGCATCCTCGGTTGGCTGGACTTTGGATGCTGCTGGTTAGACTGCTGCTCGCACTTCAATGAAAAATGCCTTTCGGCTGATCTGGGCCTCCTTTTCAGCCTTCTTCTGCTACACAGAGCACACAACCACCACCACGACGACCACCACCACCACCACCACTAATAAGCCCTGCATCCTGAATTCTGAATCCTCGACAAACAGTGGTCAGCAGAAGATGATGATGGAGATGCAGAGGATAAAAGAAAAGAAAAACAAAAAAAGAAGTGGCCAGCAAAAACTACTACTACTACGCACACATATTTGATGTTTGCAGAAGAAGAAGAACTGCTGCTTTCTTCAAGGGCCATCTGTTCAGGAGAAAGAAAGAAAGAAAAAACAGCAGCCGTGGTGGTGGTGATGGTGGTCGGTACAGTCTTAATCAAATTCAATTCAATTTTGCTCAGTGTTTGTGTGTGTGTGTTCAGCCTCCGTCGTACAGCAATGTACACACATCCACATACACACACTCAAATACGTAAATTGCCCTGTTTGTTAGTGCGTGCTGCTGCAGCAGCAGAAAAAGAAAAGAAAAATGGGAGAGTGAAAACGGAAATATGCACTGGATGAGCATCATCAGGGTGATCACCAGTGCTGATTCCATTAGCATTGCCCCCCCCTCTCTTTCCTTTTCCATTTCCCTTCTACTCGTTACACAGTGCTCAGCACCATCATAACCCATCAAACGAATGTGTGTTCAATCAAAGTGTGGCAGTACGGAGAAAAAATTTAAAATTGCACTATTTATTGCCTGAAAGTGGCCGGATTAGCGGTCGTAATGAGGGAGGAAAAAGCAGAAGCAGAAACAGCAGTTTACATTTAAATTAAAGTTCTTCCGATGTAAGGTCGCATTTTTCACTCGCTCGCTCAATCACTGCACCGTCCAACCTGAATGATGAGGTAGGTAGGTAGGTGCACTCTGGATTTTTCTCATTTTTTCTACTTTACATCTGCCTAAAACCTATCTTTCCTCGCTCCTTCACTACTGCTAACAAGCAGTGCACACCTAATTGAGAAGTAGCTGTGTAGTGCAATGCTGAGCTCATGAAAAATTGAGCACTGGAAGAGAATGAAGGAAAAAGATGCAACGCTCCAACTTTAAAAGATAGATAAAATGATGATGTGACTACATTCATTCAGACTAACAAAGTATACACAATAAAATAAAAAAACTGGCAATGTTTGAATAGAAGGAAAAGAAAGATGGAAAAGAAAGTGAAAGAATACTCACGGACGTTCATGCATGACTTGTAGAAGAACTTGGCCTTCAGCGTGGCGCTGTTGTCATTGTTTGGCGGCTGCTCGAGCAGGTCTGGTCAGGTACAGAAACAGTACAGTTAGTATTCAGACACACCGTTGTAGTATGCCGAGTATATTTCAGCAGACACATTTCATCTCATTTCAAAATATGCTTACCTTTGAGTATAATCTGCAGATCATCGGCCATCACCTCAAAGGTGCTCAGACTGGAGCGGTCCTCCGGAATGACGTGCTTCTTCACCCAGGTGCCGCAGGCGAACTGAAAGAAGTCTTCGCACTGTAGTCCAAAAAAGTATAAAAGTCATTACTACTATTTTCTAAAAAACGAAAAAAATTGAGGAAAATACCGGATCCGCCGAGAGGTCCATGGCGTTGAGAAGCGACGCGGACGTCTTGACGCACTCCATCGTCGTGCAGGTTTTCGGAGAGAGATCTACCGAAAAAATTACGATAATTTATAGACAACTCCTGTTATCATCACCCCCACCACTTACCCTCCTCACTAGGCATGGGAATAAAGAAGTAACTGAAGGCAATCACCCCAAAGGCGGTGAGGAGAAAGAGGAGAAACTTCTCCAGCCGTGTCCGGTACCGCCAGGCCAGCCCACTTGTCGACGGACTTCGAAACTGAATCTGCAGATTACGTCCAATCGAAATGATGGTATCCTTCCGGCCCGTCGTGGCCAGGTACTGCTGATGCAGGTGCGTGTGCTCGTCGTCGCCAATGTACGAGGAACGGTGGGCCGTAGTGGTCATCGTGGACATCGTCGAGCCTCGAGGTTTCAGCGAACTCCCACAGCCACCTCCCACTCCTCCTGGAGTTGCCAGACAGCGAACGTCGGCAAAGTTGACGCTTCCCGTCAGCTGGCTGGCGTCCTGAACGTGAATTGAAAGGTTTGTAGGTGTTAGACAGCCTCCACTATTTCCTGGAGCAGGAGGTCGTCCCGGCGGAAGTGGCGAAATGGAGTGCAGAATGTTTCCATTGAGAATGATGGAGGTTCGGCCGCCGCTGGGCAGGCTGTACTGCCCCGGCGAGACGGAGGCGCTGTTTGACTGCTGGTTGTTCGACTGAGAGTTGTACTGATTGGCGTATGGGTTGTACTGGGCACTGCTGTTGCTGTTTCGGTGGCCGGTTCGGTGGTTTTGATTAGGATGGGAGTGACCTTGGTGATTTGGGTGCGGCTGGTTGTGTTGATGGTAGTTGGGATTATTGCCATTGCCGTTGTAGTTTTGACTGTTGTGGCTGTGGTTGTTGCCATTGTTTCCACCATTACCACTCCACTGGCCGCTGTGACTGCTGTTTGAGGTAGTTAGAAAAGGGTTGGAGGAGCCCTTCCGAAGAAGGTGCAACTTTGGGTCGGGCAGCGTCAACGAGGCGGCCTTCTCTCGGACTGGGTTGAAGCCAAAACCGGGAGAGAAAAGGTCCAGCTCGGGCGTCTCGGCGTCCACCATCTGCGGCTGAGGACCACAGTTGTTGCCGATCATGTGGTAATTGTTATCGATATCGGCGTTGTACTGAATAAACTGCTGCTGCCGCGGATAATTAGGATGGTTCTGCTGATGAGGCTGTTGATAATGCTGTTGTTGGGGCTGCTGATTTCCACCGTAGTGATACTGCTGCTGTTGCTGCTGTTGCTGCTGTTGTTGATGGTGATGGTGGTGATTCTGAAGGACATTTTCATTCTGCTGATCAAAACTGTTGTACAGCGACTGACTGCTGGGCAGCAGGCCTGAGGTGGTGGGAATGCCCGTCGTCGAGTTGGGTCGCTTGATGTCCGGCGTCTGGAAGGTGATGGTGGAGGACTTGCGCGAGTTGCACTGACTGCGAGCGGTAGTAGTAGTAGTAGTACTTCCCTGTGGACCACCGCAAGTTGACCCCTGGCTGTTTGCGGAGTTCACCCGACTTCCATGGGAGGCACTGTTTGCTCGAATGATGGACATCGTTTTGTTGCTGTTGGTGGTGGTCTGCTGATTTGGCTGATGATGAAGGTTTTCACTGCTCTCGTCGTGATTACTGTTACCATTATCCTCGCCATCCTCACCGCCACTGTCCTCGCAGTCGCCCACTTCCCGGTCCGGCGGTGAAGAGCTGGTGATGTTGACGTTGATCAGCTGACAGCCACCGCCACCGTCCAGCAGCTTCTTCTTATTTGCTGCTTCAGTAACTGAAGCCTCGGTGATCGAGTTGACCGGGGAAACTGCCGACATTTCTCTTAATTTGTTCTTTTTCAGATTTTAGTAAAACCGCAGTTCAAGAATTAAAATGGTAGAACAAGAAAAAAGCAAATGAGAGTAGGATTTTGGTGGTGGTCATTTTTGCTTTTGTTGATCCCTTTTTTCCTCTGGCCACTCTTTAGTCAATGCACTCTTTGAAAGAACTGTAAAGGAAAAAATTAAGCAAATCATCATTTGGTATTCGTCACAGATGGTCGAGGTTGCACTAGTCGTGATGGTGCTAGGGGTAATCGTCCTAGGAACACATACACATACACATACACTGTGTATCAGTCAGACAATTAAACAAGATACTGACACTGCTTAATTGGGAATGCAAAACTGGAGCTTGGTGCTGCTGCTCTTCCTTGCACTCTTATCGCCGAAACACGAATTTCTGATGAAATGTGCAGCACTTTCGTTCACTTTCGTTCACTCACTCACTCAGCGCCCATTAGCATAAAAAGGTACCAAAAAAATTGCCTCATTTTTCGCTAATTTATTATGATTACTGCTAATTGATGAACGAAAAAAAAGTGAAGAAAAAAGAAAGGAAAGGTGGCTGTCGTAAGTTGTTCTGGCGGTAATGGCAATGATAATGAGTACACTGTCACACAGGCTAAACTGTCCAGACCGAGATAAAACAATGTAGCCAAAGTTTTTCAGTTTGAGTTCACACTTTAGCGATGCACTTCAGTACTTTCAATTTGTCCATTATAAAGTGTTGGCGATCATTGTTTGCTGTCCGCAGTTTGTCTGTTCGCCGTCTGTCTGTCTGTATCTCTGCTATCTACTGCTGTGCGTGTGGGCGCATTTTTCATTAGCTAAATAACTACCACCTTCTTCTACTACTACTAATGACGATGAGCAATTGAAATGAATGCCTGCAACAGGGAGAGAGAGAGTGGAAAAGGGAAAGAGAATTTAATTACCACTAATTAGTCCGTGACGAAGAATGAGAGAAGAGAAGGAAAAGGAAAAAAGCGGAGTTTCAGAGCACGAAGTGCTCAAAAGTGCTCAAAAGTTCAAAAAACGAGAGAAAGAGCATCTGTTCGTCAAAAGCTGATGATCATCATCATGAGCGAATATTTATTAGAAATCAGAAATCAGCAATCAGAAATGAAAAAAAATAAGAAAATGAGAAATCGGCAGGCAAAGACATCGTTTTTGCTATTCTGACGAGCGCACGAGCTCTGAAATATAACGTGCTGCAATCTCTTTCTTTTCTCTGTGTGCCTCCTTGCCGAACAAATGCTGTACAAATAAACAGCCATAAATCATTCTCCAACGATGTCGGCTACGAGGAATCACCGACAGCAGCAGCAAATTGGTCTGTGCAAATATTATTAAATCCTCTTGCATTGATTTGCCAGTGAAGCGTGAAGAGAAGGTGGCAGCGGGGGCAACTCTTTTACACGCTGTGGGATTAGGCGCTGATGGTTCCTCAAACTCAAACCAAACCCAAACTCAACCTCAGCAGCAGCGGCGGCAGCTTTTGAACCGACACATCAAACCGAACCAAAGAATGGGGAGAGGAAAAAGCACTCTCGCGCGATTCATTGAAGAGAATGGAGGCGCCGACAAATATTTACCTTTCTCTCATTGAACTCCCTTTCTCTTTCTCTTTCTCCCAATTCAGATAACTCTCTCGCTCAAGACAAGGGAAGAGGAGAAAATGGTTCGATTATTCGGCACCGGTGCCCAATTCTTCGTTCTCTTCCCTTTGGTTGGTCTCTGGTGGTGGTAACGGTGGCGGTTGTGGTGGTAATCTAATATATTCGGGCTAGCACCGTACCGGGTGAACTGCTGCTGCTGTTGCTGCTACCGTACAGAGATGAATGTTTGAAGCGTAGCAAATCAACCAGGCGAACGAACATGCATATCTACCTCCTATCACCCTCCGATCACCCTCACCCTCCTCCACCACCACCTCCTCTCACTTTCATTCAAATGGAAATTTATTTATGTTTATCTAATTACTGAAGCAGCAGCAACAGCAGACACAACTCGAAAAAGAGAACGAGCGTGAATTATCAAGCAGCAGGAATAGGCAGGAGTTGACCAGAGAATGAGAGGGAAAATGGGAGAAACAACTAGAAAAACTGAAACTGAGAGAGAAAGAGAGACACTAGAAATCAAGCATTCAAAGAGAAGGAAAGAACCGTGTGATCCTCTTTCCTGAATGCAGCCAGCATAGCAAATTTGCCCGTTTGTGTTTGCTCATTCAGCAGCAGTGCTTACGGAGCAAAAAAATTGCAATCGTATAATATTTGCTTTTTGTACGGTTTTGTAGCTTCTTTATGTAATTTAGCAGGGGCACAAAAGAAGCTTAGCGGAAAGGCACTTTTTAAAATAATAAAAACGAGCTGAATTTCTCTTGTGGAAGAGAAGACCGCTCAGCAACAAATGGCAGCACTGGGAACGATGATGCACCCTGATTGCGATATGATTTGGGAGGAAGGCTAGATCACTCAGTGACTACGGTAAACTCTACCAAGCGACCACCAAACATTTAACATTGAGCGAGAGAGGACACATTGGAGACACATGACCACTTTCCTGCACAACATTCTTTGACTGGCTTTGCTAAGGGAAAAACAAAATGCACCGAATTTTTAAGCATTTGATCTGGGTATTATTATTTTATATTTTACATAAAAAAGAAGAAAATGCATCTTAAATCTAACAAGACAAAAGGACATTCTCAGTTCAGTTCAAAAAACTGAAAAGCACAACTAAAGCCATTTTAAACCCTCAATTAGCTTAGGAAAAGAGTAGCGCAGAGTAGCGTGAAAAGGCAAGCTTTTAAAGTTTTTTTCCTTCTTTTTCTTCTTCTACGTTTCGACTAATGACACAGCTCTAGCTAGCTAGTGAGTGACACACTAAACGGGGATAAAAGTTTTAAGCATATTTACTTACTGCTTCAACTGATGCTGCTGCTGATGTTGAACTGCTTTGTCTTAAACTGTACAATTACATGTAATGCAAAACCATGTGCATAGGATGTAGATAGGAAAAATCAAGAAAGCAAACAATAAAAAGAGATAAAGAAAAAGCAAAACACGATAGATAAGATCACCTGCTCAAGTGAGCAGGATCAGAGACAAAAAGAAGAAGTAGAATAAGTAAAGTAGAAAAGCACACACAAAAATTAAATTGCCCTGCCGATGAAAATAATATGAAAGCTGAGAAGCGCTCTGCACGAGTTCAGCTTTGCAAATGAGAGAGAGAATGCCGAGCTGAATTGCCCGTCTCCTCATCAATGTTGGAACTTCGCGCTCTTTCTCTCCTCTTATTCAATTTTCCTATCTCTTCCTCCTCCTCTTCACTACATTTTTCTTTCCCGCCGCACACAACAGATTGATTCTGCAGTCCAAGCTCGGGGGCGCAAGCGTGGTCCTTCCCACGAAATATTTCAGCACCTATTGTACAGCTATTCTATCCATTCTATATTTACCTCTATCCTTTATCACTTGCCACTATTCTTCTTCCTCTGCCCTGCACATGTTTTGTCATTTGTTCCACTGCTGCTGCTGCTATCTGCAATTTTTTTCATTGATGAATACCGCCTCTGCCAACACACAGTGCATCAAGTGCTTCAAGGACTGCCGCGTGGCCATCATCATTCCCCTCCGTTTCCCTCCTCCTCCTCCTCCTCCTCAGTTATCTTCCACTTCCACCCCATTTCATGCCCAATCCTCAACACACACACAGAAGGACACATTCCACTAATTTAATCATTTCTTTACATTTCGCCGAGCTCACCCCGGCCGCCGGCCTAATTAGTAATTGGTAATTACTTCGAGCATCAGCAGCACCGACAGTAGAGATTGTTTATTCTACCGGTGTGTACCAGAGATTCCTCTTTCTCTTTTTCTCTCTGCAGATTCAGTGCTGCTTTGAAGCCTCCTGTACACACTGGCCCACACACACTAAATAATAACAATAAAAGCACATATTCATCCGTTTCCGTTGACGCATTTCCATCTTCATCCGCAGCATCATCATCATCATTGAATTTGGCATTCTTTTTAGCAAAATTTTTCATTTTCGATATCTGCTGTTGGACAGCTTTCTTCTGGACTGCTTTAAACCAGTCGGGCAGTAAAATAAAAAAGTGTGTGTAGGCACCAGAAAGATGTGCCTGTCTGTCAATTAGTGCGTTTCAGAGCAGCAGCAACAGCAGAAGCAAACAAGCAAAACCGGTCCCGGTTCAGCTAACAGCAAACAGAAACTAAAGTAGTTTTTTTGAAGAAGAAGAAAAGGCACAAAAAATCACCTTGCATTAAAGCACCGCTCGCTGTCAAAGACAATCCAAGTAATAGCCGGAGAAAACGGCACCACTTAGCTGAAATGAAATGCAATGAAACGAAAAAAGTGGATACAAAAAACTGGCTCCACAAAAAACAACACATTTATCTCTTTCTTCTTACTCTATCTTTTAATTTGCCCTACCTTGCGAAAACATTCACTCAATAACTCAGACAGTGAGCAACTGACAAACAGTGACAAATTGCAAGGTGCAGGTCGCTTGATAAGAAAAGCAAAAGAGAGAAAAAAGTGAAACCTGGAGTGCACACACATCTCCTAACATAAACACATCTGACATGACTAGTCAATTAGAGTTGGAGAGCAAATGAGAGAGAAAAGTAAAGGAAGAAAAAGATAGCAAAAACATTTGCACTGCTGCTGCTGTTGATGAAGACAGACAGTCAGACTTTGCTTGCACTGCTGACAACAAAAACCTGGCGAGCAAAGTCTGACTTGCCTGATCTGTCAAAGTCGGAAGAGAGAGAGAGAGAGAGAGAGAGAGAGAGAG